TACAGAAAAGCAAAAGAGTAGGAATATGAAGTTAGAAATAAAAGTTGACAATCCACATTTACTTTAAGTACTCTGATGTTTAAAACTTTAGAAGATGGAAAACAAAACCAAAAATCAGTAACAGCATTAAAAAGAAACATATTATCCTGAAAGGATACATAAAAAGTGGGTAATACAAGGATTTCTGAATAAAGTGGGCAAGGAGATGGGGGACACTAGGGTAGGGGAGACATTTCCCACTGTATCACAGGTGGGTGAATTCTGAATCATGTATACATACTACTTTTTGTTTTTAGGAACATACTTTTTGAAGGAAAATACAGATATAAATGTATATATTTCTAAAAGAATGTTAACAAAATGGAAATTTAATTGCCCTTTAACAGAAAAATGACTTCAAAGGGTAAAAAAAAGTAAAGACAAGAACAGTTTAAGTACTGAAAAAAAAAAAGAATAGCTTAAGTATCGCCCAAAAATCCTATTTAAACATTTAATTGTGCTGGCTATAAAAGTAAAAAACTTTTATATATATATATATACACATATACATATTAAGAAAAAACTACAGGACATTCCTTTTTTTTAGATTATCCATAAATAACCACTATTAACAATTTGGTGTATTCTCTCTAAAGATTCATGGTTAAGTGTTAACATTTTCAGAAGTATGTTTTATCAAGTTAAGAAAATTTCTATTTCTAATTTGTTAACATGAATAAATATGGAATTCTATAAAAATCTCTTTCTAGAGGGCACATGGTTGGCTCAGTCAGTCAAGCGTCGGACTCTTGGTTTCGTCTCAGGTCAAGGTCTCAGGGTCCTGAGATCCAGCCCGGCAATGGGCTCCATGCTCAGCACAAAGTCTGCTGGAGATTCTTTCTCCCTCTCTCCCTCTGTGCCTTCCCCACCCCGCCCATGTGCAAACTCTCTCTCTCTCTCTCTCAAATAAATACAATCTTAAAAAAAAAAACCTTTCTAGATCCATCAAGATAATCAGAGTTGTTCTTAAATAGGACTATAGAGTATCTATATTAATACATTTCCTGCGGTTGAATCATACTTGCATTCCTGCAATAAACCTTTCCTAGTCATGATTTTGTCACTTTGTTTTTAGTAACTCTAGTTTCTGATATTTATTTATAATTTTTCCATCTATTTTTATAAGTAACACTAGTATAAACTTTTACTATTCATGTTCAATTCTGGTATAAAATGAGCTGGTAAGTTTCCTTTATTATTAGAGTTAAGAAAACTAAGGGTCAGGATCGGGATTTTTCTAATTCTTTGCTATTACAAACAAAACTGAAATGAACACCAGCAATCTTTGACCATATTCCTGACAGTTCCCTTAGGATGAGACATCAAAAATGTGATTTCATGGTCAAAGCACCACCCGAGCCCCTTATAATTTATGTTTATGAAAATGAATTCTTCATTCCTACACATTTACATATAATGGATATTATAAAATTGCCATGTTACACCTCATAGGCCCTTACTTTTAACTTTAGAGTCTCCAACCCTACAGCAGTTTGGATTTTGCTTTATTGTAGATAATACACACTAAAAGCTTTTTCTTCTTCTGGTTGATTCATTACCCAAGTATCAATGCCGTTCTCATTTCATGACTGAGTTGTCTTCCATTCCTTGGTCTCAAAAATGTTTGAGATATAAAAGCCTCATGAAGCTTTATTTGTACTATTCAGCTCATTGCAGCTTGACAGGTGAAGTTCTACCAATGAATCACTTTGTGTCACCACATTCAACAACGGGGAAGATGTAGTGACACGTGTGTGCTAACTAGTTTCTATCCTATGAAGGCTGAGTAATTATATGAGGGGTGGGAGGGACATGGAGCCAGGGCTGTTTCTGCCCTAAATTTAGTCTCACTTTACGATTAAAAGAAAGGGGGTCGAGGGTGAAGAAACAGTTAACAGTCAATACAACAGATATTTTAATAGAAAACATTTGCCATTTTTAAAAATTAAGTAATTTATGTTTCATGTTCTTCATCAGATGAACTTATTTGTATTTTTGGGTTTGTAAAACCTTAAGATTTTTTATTAACAACTTTCTTGCAATTTTAAGTACATAAATTTATACAGTAAATCCATTCTGTATCATATGTTAAATAATTTTGCCTAAACTACGGTTTGGATTTACCCGTAATGAACCTTTCCTGCCCCCACTCCCCAACCACTATTTAGTAGTTAAGAAATAACTAATAATCTAACACACATTAACTGTTCTCCTACTAAAAACAAAGCCAACTCTATAAAATATATGGGACCAAACCACAGTGCAAGAAGCTTAAACTTCTTGATGGACAACAAGCGGTATTAACAAATCTACATTTCTTACCCAAAAATCCTCCAAAACACAAAAAAAACACCCACCAAATTAGACAAGCCAAGTTTCCAAGCTTCAAAGAACTTCTGACTGTAAAAAACATAATAGTGGTCAACCACCACTTGACTTTCACTGTTCAGGTAAAAGAGTAAAAAAAAAAAAAAAATGGTCTTTAATGATCGAAAAGCCCTAGAATACGGAAAGATCTTTAAAAATAGGCTATAAGAAGAACGGAAAATAGGAAAAGAATGTTGACCAAGGTGACCTGCACATATCTGAATCATCGGGCGCTACCTACCGTAGCACTGTCTCCTTAAAGGAAGGGATGGTGCGGCTCTCCTCTCAGCTCCACTCAGTCCAGAACCACTGCAACGCAATGGCAGCCTGAGGCGGGCTGCGCAGAGCCGTGGCTCCCCGGCTCCCGGCACACACAGCTTCTCTGGAGGAGGGAGAGAACCTACCAACCGGTCTCCCTGAGCCCACTCTCGACAGTCTCACAAACCATTCTCCTCCCTGCAGCCACATGCCGAGCTGAGACTCTTCGGTGACTCCACCTTCACCCACGCTCAGGTTGAGGTGCACCTTGTGGTTCCTTACCACCCACACAGCCTCAGCCGGGCCACATCCCGCCTCCGCTTTACAGCCTCCCAGGACACCAGCCAGCTTATTAGCACCCTTCAGCAGTGCCCCCTCAGCATCACTCTCAACACCGCAGGGCCACTCTGGGAGAACCCGGCCTCTCCTGACGAAATCCCTCCTTTACACCCATCAAGATTCAGCTCTGGCATCAATCCTTTTCCAGAAGGAAACTCTCCAAAAGCTGCAGGGTGGGCAAAATTCTCCTCCTCTGGACTAACTCCCTGAGCACACATCTTTCTTAACACCTACACTACTTATGAAATGATCTTCTTTATTTTGTAAAGTTTATCTCCCTTACTAGAAAGCAACTCAAGAGCAAAGACCATATTTTAACTCTAGCGAGGAAGAGCATATCACACATGTAGTGGGTGTTTTTAATAAATGTTTACCGAACTGAAATTCCAGGCACTATACAATGAAAAATTAGCAAATGTAGCTTGACTTATTCTTAGCCAATTCATTACCAAGTCCTGTCAATTCTACTCCATCAAATCTGTCCACTTCATGTGTTAGCACAGCCACCGTGCCAGTCTACCCTCCAGCATCTCTCATTTAGACTACTTTACTAGCCTCCTGATCTCCCTCCTTCCAGACCCACTGTCCAGTCTACTACCTACATACACATACACACACACACAGCCCCCACTTCTTAAATAAATTAAAGAAAACTTTAAAAATCCTTTTTTGCTTTCTATTATATTTAGACTAAAATTCAAACGCCCACTGTGCCTTACAATGCCGTATTATCTGACTCCTTCCAAGGTTTATACTCATTTTGTATTCCTCCATCTCTCCTGGGCTCCTTTTAAAATCCTCCAATACAATAAGCTATTTCTCATCTGACTGTCTTTACACTAGCTCCTTCCTCTCCTAGAAGACTCTCCCTTCAGCTAGCTGCTACTTCTCAAAGCTGTTTAAGTGTCACAATCCAATCCAAAGCAGCTTTTTTATCCCTCAGTCATGGTCTTCTTTGTACTCATTACCATCTCAAATTATATCAATTTGCCCATTTGCTTAGTAGATCTACCAGTGTAGATCTATGCCTTAGAAGAGGAGGAACTGTGTGTGTTTTGGTCAGACTGTACCCCCAAGGGCCTAGAAATAGCGCCCTGCATTCAGCAAGCCCTCATAAGCATTTGTAAAACAAAAGCATAAACAAAAAAAGTGACTCTTATTTAAGATATACATGAAACAAGTAAAATAAAAGAAATGGATAATTAACCTACCAAATAAAGCAGGAAACATTCTACTGTTAGTATCTGCGAGTAGATAGGCTGGTGTTACTGGGATCTAGTATCAACAAGCATCCAGACTGTATTTTCCAAAGCTCACTGGAAATCTGTCAATCAAGTAGCATGGTTTCATGTGCTAGCCCACATGTCTGACACCACCAGAAGTCATTTTAGAAAATGCTATATGCTGCCACTCCCCAAAACCCTGTCATGTCCACCAATAGTAACGAAACACTTAAAAACCGCTTGCTACTTTGTCAAAGAAACGGCATTTCTGACAGTGGTACTTATCTACAAGTAATTAAATTGACACTAATAAAACTTCAACCTCTTAAGTAACAGGCCCTTCTAAGACAAGAGGTAGGTAGGTCTTTGCGCCAGGTTCTAACTCTCTGGACATCTAAGAAGCTGCCCCCTAGACTGTTCTTTCTAAGAAGTAAAGCTGCAACTCAAAACAAAAATTATATAAATAAAATTCACCACAGTGTTAGCTGCCTCTGTTAACTCTTATATTGACTGGACTTTTGACCAAGGTGGGAGAAAACTCAGTCACCACTGCACTATGAGAGGAAAAGCCTTGACTCTCTATTCAAATGTTGTTCAATCACAGAGATGAGGATAAGCTGCAATGAAGCACTTAGGCAATGAGGGTAAATGAACGCAGTGAAGATAAAACAATACAACTAAGTATTTTATTTTGCTTGATTAAACTTCATTGTTCAAGAAAATGACTTGTAAAACAAACAAGTCTTAACTAGTCAAACAAAACTGAAACGCCAGTTTAAAAAGAGTGGTCATATGTTTTAATAATCACTATTTACAGGTGACTTGACAGTAAAAATTTCAGTAACTTTCCTTTGGCTTCCTTTAAGCAATTTTCAACAGAATGACCACAGAAGTCCTGCTCTATCGACACTTACCTTGGTATGGTGACACATTTAGTATTACAATTTTGAGTGGTGATGGCTTTCTCAAGCTCATCTAATCGTCCTGTTTTCTTTAGCTTCTTCACCAAACTTTTAACTGCTTTCTCACACCACTTTTCTTCTTGTCCGTTCTGCTCTCCTCCGCCTGCTCCTCCAGACCCACCAGCTGATTTCTTCCATCCCAGCAGCCTTTTCACAACCGGTGGAGTGAATGGCAAGATGGACGACATGCTCTTACCAAAGGCCGCAACCCGCACTGAGAGAAGACGTTCCTCTACCTAACCTAGAAAAGATACGGAAGGGATCGTTTAGAGGCTCACTTTAAAATCCAGTCATAACCTCAACAGTGTCTCTAAAGCAAATTTGAAAATGAGACAAATTCAGATCATCAGAGCAGACTTTCAGAAGTCATCTTTTTCTCCCACGACAAGGTCTTTATGACTTTAAAGCAATTGTGGAAATAAACTCTAAAAAACAAAACCATGTTATCAGTGGACAAATACAATAATTTTGCAAGTAAAATCTTTACCAACACTGGGCAAACTTACCACTACAAATACTACTTCATTTTTAACTTTTAATAGTGTCAATAATTAAAATATTTTCACCAAATAATGAAAACCAATTCACCAAACATTAAAACTTTCACCAGAAAGTTTTTCTCACTTTTTAGGACACTTAACAAAAATATTTTTAAAATGTATTAAGTCTACTCTCCCTGAAGTTTCAAATTTTCATAACTAAGCATCATAAAGTAAAATCTAAAGTTGTAAGAAGGGAAAAGGCATCATGTGTGAAGTAAACAACAAAAAGTAAAAAGTAAAAACAAAAATTAAAAAAAATAAAGGTAAATACAGTTTGTGAAGAAATGGTTTGGTTTACTTTTATGATCCCTTGAGAAGACTTTAAGTTAGGCCTCTTTTCAAAAATATTTTTTCATTTTTATCTAAGTAACAAACAATATGTGTCCTAACTAAAGTCAAATATATTTCCTCTTCTCATACTGAAGTACAATTCCTTAAAATCTTTTAACTTTGACTCTTGCTATTTATACTTCAAGTAAGAGGCTCATGATGGTAGCCCTTGAAACATCAAGTTTAGGTATTATCTACTGTTTTTGGAAAATGAGGATTTACACAACAACTGCTCACTTTCCTCCAACCTGAATAATTATCTCCCAAAGGTAGTTTTGTGTCTGATGAGACTGGTAGTAAACTACTATATAATCTTCCCTTTTTGTACAACTCTTTCTTTTCCCCAGTTAATGATCTCAGTTTTTCATGTGCTTTTAGTTTTCTATGTGCCTACCATAAATTCTCCCCACACTCTTCACAAGCCCCATAATTAAATTTTAATGTGGATGACTTTAACCTCAAAATAAGAGACAAGATCATTTACCACTTGAGGATGGAACTAGAGAGCTGAGACTTGAGAAGAATGAAGATTTAGAAATGTAGCTCTAAGAAATACCTACAGGGGCACCTGGGTGGCTCAGCTGGTTAAGCGTCTGCCTCCGGCTCAGGTCATGATCCCAGGGTCCAGGGATGGAGCCCTGTGCTGGGCTCCCTGCTCAGCGGGGAGTCTGTTTCTCCCTCTCCTTCTGCCCCTCCCCCTCGCTCCTGCTTTGTCTCTTGCTTTCTCTCTTTCAAATAAATAAATAAAATCTTAAAAAAAAAAAAAAATCAGCTAGAATGAAGCAGGTATTTCCAGGCTACAAAGTAAAAGGTGTAGAGGAGCCCCATTTCTAATCAGGATGTAGAAATGACAACAGACCATCATTTCACCCTAACAATCAAAACAAGCCAGATAAGGCTACAAAATCATGTTTTTTCTGAACCCATCAGAGTTCAGGATGCAAAGTAACCTCAGTGGAACTAAATTCCAGAAAGTGCTGAGCTGTGAAAAAGAGGCCCACAAATGGTTTCTTACCTGGTGGAGCAGCTAAGGAGGAAGAATCCCACCCCAGAGGAGGGTAAGGAGAAACCAACCTACTCTTTTTTTTTTTTTT